AGTGAATTATCATGGGTAGTTTTTTTTCCAATAACTTCATTTAAGGTTAATTAGATGCAAATGTAATGTAATCAGCTGATGGAAACCAACTTACAGAACAAAATACAAAATAGAATGTGCTGTTAAAATAAACTAAGTATATATCCAAGTAATGTATCCTAGATATTTTGTGCATACTGGATGCATAATCACCAGGAACATGGGATTAACATTTTTCTAAACGTCTTTTTAAGATATCATCATTGTTTGCATTTATTATTTCGGCAAGAACGTTATTCCAGATTTGGCTGCTTCAAAAAAGAATTGTTTTATAGGAAATTTTTAGAAAAACTGATTTGAATCCAAAACGCAAAACGGTATCATCAGTAACTGCCATTTCAAATTGTCAAAAGAACTTCAGAATATCTTCACTGGGAAATATATTAGTGTCATGCAAATAACTGCAATTTGAAAAAAAGGAATTTTCATCATTCCTTTTGCAATAGTTTTATCTACATTGTTTTGGTCACCTCACTCTAGGAAAATGGTACTAGAAAAATAACATACTGTTCGGTGGAACAGATACATTTATATCGAACAAATCAAGTCATATTAATGACAGAGTTGTAAATCAATGTTTTTGTGTTATGTGGCAGAGAAAGGAAAAACATAGATTCGAGCTGGAGCTGATACACAATCGTAATGATAAGTATATATATAATATAAAGATAGATAACAGTATTGAGTAAACTTACGAAAAATCAGAATCATCAACAAATGTCTCTTCTGTCAGCCATGGCCAAGAGGTCGCTAGATGCAACTCACTGAAAGTGGAGAAAACAATCGAAGTTGACTAAATGCAACTGCAAATGCTAAGCGGGGTTGTAAAGGATCGAAAGAAAGTTCTCTTCTCTACACAAGAGTAGCTGTGCCTGATTTCTGACGATAACTAATACTCAAATGCCGGACAATAATGAAGAGATATTTAACATGTGAAATATTTAAAAAATAAAATTTAACGATATTTTTACTAACTGATACCAGCACGAGCCAAAAGCCTAACTAATTGCCGAAAATAGTGAACGCAAAAAGATCTGGCAGTTCATATTTTACCTCTGCTATCAAAGTAAAAACGCCACAACGCTGGATGTAGGATGTCTTCATGCTAAGCAGTATATGTGGGTAGTTTTAGTCATCTTAAAAGTTGTACATTTATTAAACAGTTATTTTAACATATAGCTCCAAAGCAAAATAATAGCAAAGTGAAGCACCAAAAATTAAGCTCATTAAACAGCTTTTTTTAATCGCAACGTGCATTTGGCTCTTTAATTTATAACTGCAGTTGTCAAGGAATGATTTTTTAATGCTAAGTTTATTTGTTTCTGTGAGATTGACAGGAAGAGTTAGGCAAATACAATTTTCAGTGTACATCTGTAACTGTTAATTGAACTTTAAGTGTTCCTTTGTACATTTGAACTACACAAAACTACATTTGCGCAAATCACACCGTTTGGTAATATTCATTGTCCCATTCAAAGATGGCTGGGACTATCATAGCATGGCTCGCGATATGCATGAGCTCTGGAGTCTTTCCCTTAAATAATTTCAAACAACTCATACATTTAGACTGCTTGTATTTCTGGATACTTCATTGATCTAAATGCATAATATGTTAGAAATATCCAAGGATACTGAAGAATCGCAGACAGCTAAAATACGGTACCTAATAGGATCCTGCAATGGTCCGAAAGGTAGCCTTGACAAAATCAAGTAACCGACCTCAGCTCCAAACCCAGATTCAAAATCAGGAGGATCTTGGACCCATTCTTCTTCGTTCCAGCCCAGTATATAAGTAAACCGCACTGAAATAGTCACTGGTGTTAACAAACTAGAAGGAACCGCCTGTGGAAAGACAAAACAACTTTCAAATTGTATAGGCCGTATTTTACCTTAGATATTTAGCAAATAACGAATGATGATACATACGAAACAATATAATGAAGATTACTATTTTAACAGGTTCTCACACAGTAGTGGACAACGAATAGGTAAAACTAAAAATACTGCCGTACAGAACAGGCTCGATATGTTTTGCTTTTAGTCGGTCAAATATAATGCAAATTTAGTTGTATCTTAAGGATGCATTGTATGGAAAAGTTGAATTGAATAGAAAGAATAGAACAAGGCATTTCTGTGTTGAAGCTCCGTGTTTCCAACGCTATCATCAGGCGACTTCAATCAACCGCTTATAAACTATACTGATGGAATGACCAGAATGCGAAAGCAGATTATACTGCAGAATATGCAGAACAATTTTGGGTGGTAGGTTTGAGAATTTGCCTCCTATGCAAACGATCGCGGAGTCCAGGTCATTTTTGGACAATCTGAGTTTCCTCCCAAGGCCTATTGTTTCACTAATGTATATGGCAGACTTCGAGGATAACTTGAAATTTTTCATACACCAAAAGCAAAACACTATGACATCATGAAATTTTATTTGGTGCAAAATTACATTAATAGGAGCAAGAAATTGCTGAAAACAACTTACCAGCTTTGATTTGAAAACATCTAAGAGTCCGGTCAAATTCTGACACTGTTGAGGAGTTTTTTTCATATGAGCCATTTCATAACTGACTCTAAAGCCGTTACCCATACAAATGCCAAAATAGAGACGACGCCATCTTTGTTGAACTTGCACGAATACAGGAGTATCACTGGAACAAGAGACAACATGCAAATAATTATAAAAAATACAGAATTATTTGTATAAATTGTCACTAAACTCATTTGTTATTCACTGGATTCATTTGTTATCAATATTGCTAATGGCTAAATCGAATTCTGCAAGAAACCAGAACACAGTAGGCAAAAGCTTGATATTATGTTATAAAGAAACACAAAAAGAATCCATTTCTTATCAAGGATTGTACTACGACACATGATTACAGGTTTCATATTATACAATAAAAATCTGAAATATGGCATAGTATTTTTCTCATGATGACACACACAAGCCATTTTATAGTGAAAGATATCCCGAGGCTGAAACGAACTCAAATTTCATTATGTTATCTTAACAACTACTCAATCATTGATGGTTTCGGTCAGGAGTTTAATTTATGCATTGATTAGATTTCCCTAACAAACAACAAACTGGGTTTATTGGATATGAAGTTGACGTTAATGAAATAAAATATAATTACTGGTTGTTTTTAAATAAGTTTTAAAATATGAACATAACTATCCGTCCAGCAATATAGTCTAATTTGCTTCATAATCAGAATATAAATCTTGTAGAAACCTTTCCATAAATCAACCATTAAATATTTTGATTTTTAGCGAAAGAAAAAATGAAGTAAAGAGAATATTATCGATCATACCAATTCGTATTTGAGAGAGCGACAGCGACAGAGCTGAGAAGGAGCTTTGACCTCGATTCAGTGTTGATTTCTTCGTGTGGATTGCTAGGAGACAGCACCAAAAAGGCCTTGACGCCATTCCTATAAAAAAGTGTGTCAATAAACAGCAATGGTCTGTCATAAATACTAACTAAGGATTAATGAGAAATAAGATAAACAAAAAGCAAGGCATAATCGCGTTAAGCACAATCATAGAGATATATTGCTACTTTCGAAATAAAGCTTTCAAGTAGGACCATATCTTATACAGAAAGCAAGCTACTTTCCCGTAATATGATGAAAGAGGCATCGTTCTGATTCGTTTCTTAAAATCATGGAAAGACATCTTATTGGTTCCAGAGACAAAGAGTTTTGAACAGTCTTGTTAAAGAAGTGGGTACAAGAAAATCTGCGCCATTGCGCAGACCTTACAATATCCTCTATTTGTAAAGTCTGCACGCAGGCTAAGGCGACAATGACTTCTTGATTTAGTGATAATAATCTTTTGAGAAAATCTTCAAAAATGAACCAAGAGCAATAAAATGCAAAAATTATGGACATTTTAATTTTATCATTTTTGCTTAAAAAAGAAACCATCGCACTACACATCTTCATGCAAGCCAAACGCTGTCAAAACAACAAAGAACTGCCTGGTTTCAGGGAGTCAGCCAACATACCACTAAAACATGGTAGGTTTTTACAAATTAGTTCGTGGGACACTGATACATTCGGGAAACAAAACAAGAAAATTTGTTTAATTTCAATCTGGAA